AATAATATGTATGAACAGGTGTTCCCCTACAACAGCCGCATGGAGGCATACCTTAAGTCGACCGGTCGCAAGAACATCGCGGAAGCCGCTAACAAATACAAGCCTCTGCTAACGCCCGACGCGAACGCGCCCTACGATGAGGTAAGGAAAAATGGTCTATGGGAAGTGGACGAAAGGACCATGAATCGATTTCTGGAACGTTTCGTTTTACACGTTTTTGATATTGTTTGTTTTTTCTTGGCACTTACTGTTTATGCTACTATACAACTATTCAGTGCCTCTACCAAGTGTTAACAAAGCATCTTCAATTTTGTGTAGCAAATTGTACAGCTATCACAATAAAGAAATCGCATTTTTAGGACTAATAATCTGAGGTTAGTTTTTTCTACGGAATTAAAAACGAAAAAGAAAATTACGGGTTTATGCGGTTAGCTTTTTACTCGAATTCATTTTTAGTATATTATTTATAAGTATATTACGTTTTGAGTTTCTTAATTTTAAATTTGTTATCTTTTTAATCTTATGGCTCTATAGCCAATGCTTAGTAAATAAATTTAAAAAAATCTACCTAATTTTGGTGGCAATTCTTATTATTTTTATGTTCTAGAATATTACCACGATGTATTATTTAATAATATCCGAGTGCAGTATTCTGAAATATTATTTAATATTTCACGATGATATAGTCGAATAGTTAAATAATAACAATTGCCACTGAAATGAAGTAGAGAACTAACCCGAAAATTACCCATTAAGTTATATGCTTTACACTGTTACTTACTGACTATTTTACATTCAGATGGTCGAAATCGACCTATCAACCCTCGAGCCCCACGTGAATGGTCCGTTCACGCCCGATCTGACCAACCCGATCTCTCAACTCGGCCAAAACGCTAAAAAGAACAATTGGCCAATGGATATCAAGGTCGGCCTCATTGGATCTTGCACCAACTCTTCCTACGAGGACATGGGCCGCTGCGCCAGCATCGTTAAGGAGGTTAGTTCTTGTAAAACATTGTTTCATTTCGAACGGACTCTTATTAACCGACTTCAAAAAAAGGAGGAAGTTCTCAATTCGACTGTATGATTCTTTTTATGTATGTTACGCGATACATTTGTGAACCGACTTTGATAATTATTTTTTTATTGGAAAGGGGGTACCTCAGTAGTGGTCCCATTTAAATTTGAAGAAAATATTCCACCTCTAAGGGTGGCAAACTAGGGGATGAATGCTTTTGAGGTCGGTTTTTTTGGACCAATTTCTTTTCACGAGGTCTTATTATTGTACATTTCTATAAAATTATATAATTACAAGTGTAAATGTAATAAATATTCTTTATATGTTTAATTAGGCCTTATTTCAAATGTGTATTAAATTGATTAATTTCGTTAATGAAAAACCAAAACGTGCTATTTCTATTGATAATAACAGCTAAGGTACATTGCAAAAATTTTATATCCTGCTATAATGTGACTGTCCATTTAACCACGCACAAACACACATACACCAACTGACGCACGCACGCGCGCGCATTCATACACATACGTATGCCTATAAACACAGCAAGCACAGCATAAAAGAGAGCATTTTTCGTTTCTAATCAAGTGAACTTGAAAAAATATTCCCTGGACGAACTTGTGACAATGCGACCCCCCTCCTTATCATCCCACCCTTTTCTCTGGTTCCTGGCAACCTACTTTGAAATTTCGTATCGTTCTTTAATTCCTTCTTCTTCGTCACTCTAACTTCTCTTTCCGTCGCCACTCTCTCCTAAATTTCCGAAGCGAGCACACGTGCTCTCCTTCACATAAAATTCTGACCAGTTATATGTACCATTGAAAATCATACAACCTACCTATATAAAATATCAATATTTGTACAGTCAAGAGCACGTCAAGCTTGACACACTGTACTTTGAACCGTTCTTATCGTAAGCGGCATAGAGTTACATTAAAGTCTTAAGTGTTAACCTTGACGTGCTCTTGACCCTGTACCAATACAGGCCTTTTTGGGGTAAGTCGCTTATGTTAAATGTTAATCCATTGTAAAATACTGTTTTTATATGATTGTACCTGTGTTTATATCGTTATTTTGAATTGATACAGCCTTTACTTTACCTGTTCTTTTCCCTTCCTGTATCTGCTCTTTCTTTATTTCTGCAATAAATTGTATATGGACCATCGAGTATATAACCAGAAATAGAGACGAAATGTCATTTAATTTGTTGGAAAACTATTCTGCCAAATCATTACTGTGACAACTGCGCTCCGATTGGCCAGCCCAAATACGAAACAATTGACGGGTATCGTCAATTGTTTCTTTTTAAATCGACCAGTTTAACTTGAGCTTCGCTATAATGGAAGAAAATTGCAAAATTACATATTTAATTACCGATGAAATGTGATTCCGTTTGTTTTTGATGTTTTGCTGTTTTTACCACACCACCAAATGGACCAGCCTCTATTGTTAGATATATCTTTATTGCAATAAATACAGAATATTTTTGGAATATACGGAGACGTACACACAGGTCAGTTGTTGGTGCTGTACTATTTCAGCTTTCTAATTTGTGAATTCAGCGCAAACGAGAGTTGATATTTGAAAATGATATAAGGCCAATTTACCTGATGAGTTGCCAGGGACAGATGGCCCTTATTTCGTCTCCATTGCTGGTTATATTCGATGATGTGAACTGAGCCTTCTATTTAAATACTGATATGCTAAAAGCGTCATAAGCATCGGCTAAGCTCTTTCATTCTTTCCACAGGCAATTAGTCACGGGCTGAAGTCGAAGATTCCGTTTAACGTGACCCCAGGCTCGGAGCAGATACGCGCCACCATCGAGCGTGATGGGATCGCTAAGACACTCAGGGACTTCGGAGGCACTGTAAGCATACAATACTATATCTTTAAGTGGAATAGAATAATTTATTTCATATTTAGGAATGAAACTATTTTTCCGGATTTAAATCGCGTATATTTGTTTTTTCAAACAAACCGACGTTTCGGGCCCTTTACAGGTCCCATGGTCACGGTTGACTGAGGTGGTACAGTCTTCAACCATATTTCATATTATCAATAGGTATCACAATATTACAATTTCATGATTAAGTTTAAAACCACGCTTTGAAAAACCACGTACTTCAGTTTTCTGATTATTATAATTTAGTCGTGTTAGCGAATACATAATATTCATTTATCAGCAACCCATTTTATACGTCTCACTGCTGGCCACGGACCTCCTCTCAAGCGAGGTCTTGTGGCCTAAATGCCATGGGGTTGGGAACCTCACACGTTTTCGTAGGGTTGTGAATCTTCTTCGACGTGCAGGTTTCATCATGGTGTTTTCCTCCACCATAAAACTCATTGTAAATTTCAAATTAAATTTCGCGCATAAGTTCCGAAAAACTCGGAGAAGTGAACTCGGATTCGAACCCACGCTCTCTATTTGAGAGGCGGTAGGTCAAACTATTGTGGGGGCGCTGCTGGCGCTGGTGGATTGTAATGTTGTAAGGAGAGTAGTATAGTAGCCTCCGTAGCCTCCGCAGCCTCCATACATCTTGCTTAGTACGTTTGACGTTCAAAGTTCAATAGGGTAAAGAACTAGTGGTAATAAATCCAGTTTTATAAATATTTATTCCAGTTTTAACAATATATATGATCTTTAAAATGTTTATCGTACTAGAGATTTTTAGTAACTGGTAAACGGCTCAAAATATTAAGAAGAAAAGACGTGTTCGCTGCCACGATCGGGCAGGGAGTGACGATGGAACGAAACGAAATTAGAATGTGAGGCAAAAGAATGGAACAATTCAAAATTTTAAATTAAATACGAATGGCCAGGAAGCGAAGTAGGGCGATAAAAAGGTGGAACGACGATGTAAGGAGGTCACATCGTTACACTATTAACCTACCACGGCTTTTTAGTAGTTGTTTAGGGTAAATTTATATTGCGGCGGAACGGAACATAAGCAAATTTTTGTAACTATATTGTACATAACATATTGAACTTTATGGTCAATTGTGTAATGTACAAACTAACTAAACTAGGTACGAGTCAAAATCTTCCGCGGAATTCTCTTGCATGCTCGAGAATGCTCGCGTATTCCGCGGAAGATTGACTCGTATCTAATTTGTACATTAGACTATATCCATAAAGTTTATTATGCTATGTACAATATCGTTACAAAAATTCGCTTCCATTCCGTTCCGCCGCAATATTAATTGGACCTTATTGTTTTTAATATTTTTGTGTACCTAATTTTTGAACGGGCACGTGAAATTGTATCAACTTACACCTAGAGGTGGGTTATAAATAACGTCACGATGAAAAAATCACGATGCCGTCAAACAGTATCGCCGTGACTCGTTCCGAAGGAACGACGTTCCAAAGTCACATAGGTGTTCCTCCGTTCCAATAGCTATCCCCGTCACTCACATCACGATGTACTTATTTGATACAATGCGCGATCTCCGTTCCGTGGTGACTGAGCGCGCCACTCGTTGTAGTTTTCTCTTCAAATCGGGCCATTTCGGCGATGGGAGTGAGTGAGATAGGATGACTTTCTTTGCTCACTCACAAGGGTCGTTGGTGTTTTTTACTACTAGAAAGGGCGGATGAAAAAAATCTGCAGCAGTTACTATAAACCTATTTATTAACAAAGTAAAATGTTTTTGTATACTTGTTTTACTATAGGAAGCGTTGGTATTTTATATATATGTATAATCTACTTTATGTATTCTACTAGAAATATAATTACATTACACTTTATTGCTATTTTTAACATTCCAAAGATTCGCATTAAATAAGTAACAAACAAAATTACATTAACTACAAAATCAACTTTTTGAATGGAATTGAAACTTATTACAAAGGGAGTAAAAACTTAAATCATTCTATAAAAAACGGCTATAAGTATTAGAAAGAAGCCGCTGGCTAAAACCGTATATCGTGATGTAAGTTATAGGCGTGACAAGGTCACGGAAGTAACAGTCGTGATAAATCACCGTGATGTTTTTGGAACCGGAACGACAGTCACGGCGATAGAAATGTAACGCTATTCCCCATGTCTACTTACAACCTGTGTATAATAAATGACTTATAATAACGATTAGGTATTAGCCAACGCGTGCGGCCCCTGCATCGGACAATGGGACCGTCGCGACGTGAAAAAGGGAGAGAAGAACACCATCGTGACGTCATACAACCGCAACTTCACGGGCCGCAACGATGCCAACCCCGCCACTCACTGCTTCGTCACCAGCCCTGAGCTCGTCACTGCTCTGTCTATCGCTGGTGAGATTTTCATATCATATAATTGGATCATGACGTCATTCAATAGCAACATCATTTTTGTTTATATTGAACTCGTCCAATTATAGTTGTCACTAAATGTCCAGTGTCTAAAAACAAATGGGTGAGGGAAAAAATATCAGTGGCGAGGCGTCCATATAACTCAATTCCCACCGGCTTGCCTAAAATTTTCCATGTCTCATCAAATATTATAAATATTTAAATAAGTTTACTACATTTTGTGCTCTATTTATTTTATAATTTTATACAAACACAGATGTGGGTCAACAAGCGGGTAAACTAAAGTGAGACTGGGCGGCTCGGTAAATTGTGGTTGCTCATCTAATCGATATCTAGGATTTAACAATCGTCGAAAAAGCGCTGATCTACCAGAATCTGTATTTTTCAGTATTACACATTCCTCCGCGTTTCAGGTCGCCTGGACTTCAATCCATTAAAGGACGAACTGACAGGCAAGGACGGCAAAAAGTTCAAACTATCCGACCCGTTCGGCGACGAGCTGCCCTCCAAGGGCTTCGACCCCGGCCAGGACACGTACCAACATCCCATTGCTGACGGAAGCAGTTAGTATTAATACCAATTTTTTAGTAGCAATAGATCTCGTTGTGACAGAGTTCGTTCACGAAAGTACTGCCACTTCACCCAAGTCTGCCGCCCAGCGGTACTGTGAGCATTACTGCTTTTCAGCTTTGAAGGGTAAGGGTACTGTGAAATTACAGGCCATCGAGTATATAACCTGAAATAGAGCCATCCATCCCTGGCAACTCACCAGGTATAAATGGGCCTTATATCACTTTTAAATATCAACTCTAGTTTGCGCTGAAATCACAAATTAGAAAACAATTGTTTCGAATTCGGGCTGGCCAATCAGAGGGCAGTTGTCATAGTAATGATTTGGCAGAATAGTTTTGAAACAAATTAAATGACATTTCGTCTCTATTTCTGGTTATATACTCAATGTTACAGGCACATGGAACTTTTCAAGAAAAGCTATCTGCGATGGAAAGAATCAGACGGCGCCAAATTATGGTGCTGCATCGATAGGTGTGTCACTACACTAAACTCCAATAAGGGGCTGTGTTTCGTCAAGCAATAGGATATCTTTATTATGACTTAGTAGCGAGTACAATATGTCAAAATAACGAGTTGCAAACATATCTCTTCTTTGCTTGTCTCTGGCAGAAAATAAGCCTTATTGTTATTAGGAATCGATGAAATTGACGATATTTTGTATCGATAATAAACACATAAAGAAATAAATAAATTCGTAACATCCGCTGAATCGGTCTGTTGAGCTCGGTTGCTTAAAAGGCGTGGAAACAGACACTGGTTCGAATCCAGTCAGGTCGAAGGATTGTTTTCTTTATATTGTTCGATATTTGTATCAATAATCACAAACTAGTGGATTATTTTTATAAAAAAAAAATATGAAAATCATATCAGAAAAACATCGTGATATTCAATAAACGAATATACTAAAGTTTTAATTAGTATAACTAATATCAAAACCCTTAGAAAAATTCTTTTGATCCAGCTGGATTGGAACCAGCACCCTCAGTCAATCTGTGCCAGGTGCTCTGCCAATTAATCAATTATTTAAATTACTTTTAGCGAGCGAATTAAGTTTTCGTAGTATTTCGATCTTAGTTATAATAAGTATAACAAACTAGTGGAGTAATTTCACAAAAAAATTCAATATGGTAGTAAAACACAATGACGTTTAATGAACTTAAAAAATACTAAAGTTTATCAAATCCATTCGCAGAAGTACAAGTGGACGTGTCTCCGTCATCGGATCGACTGCAACTCCTGGCGCCTTTCGAAAAATGGGACGGCAAAGACCTCACTGACATGACCATCCTCATAAAGGTGAAAGGAAAATGCACCACCGACCACATCTCCGCTGCTGGACCCTGGCTCAAGTATCGTGGCCATCTCGACAACATCTCCAACAACATGTTTATCTCGTTAGTATAACAATTATATTATGAAAAGTATTGTAGTTGTGGGGCCAAAATATTTCAAAGGGAAACTTACTTATTAATAAACATATCTAGTATTAAAAAGAGGTTAAACAATTCTGTAGGTACAAGTAAACGACCTTAAGCAAATGTTTTGGTTTTTAGATGTTTTTAGAAACATTGTTTTATAATGCTAAAAATAACACAATGGTAGACATTCAAGTCCTATCGCCGTTCGTTTTTTATTTAACATATTTTGTTTAATCTGAAAATTGATTTTAAATGACTAATAAAGAGCCTCATTCTCACAAAACACTCAGTAGTAAAAACTACTATTTGACACTAAGATTATTTACCTCTCTATTTTCCAGAGCAACGAACGCAGAGAACGGTGAGCTGAACAAAGTGAAGAACCAATTGACGGGCGAGTGGGGCCCAGTGCCCGCGACAGCGCGTGCGTACAAAGCAGCGGGGGTGCGCTGGTGCGTCATCGGCGACGACAATTACGGCGAAGGCTCCAGCCGAGAGCATGCCGCATTGGAACCGAGGCATTTGGGCGGATACGCCATCATAGTCAAGTCATTCGCTAGGTGAGACCGCAAACAACATGACCACTCACGGAAAATGATACGTAGAACATACAAAGAAATTGATTAGATGGAATCGAATGACTGTCGAAATAAATAAATTCGGGTCGGCAACTCAGAAAATTAAAAGTAACACGTCATTGCAACCTTCTTATTTTATTTTAATTGAATATCATGACGTTTTTAATATACTTCGTTTCAATCAATTTTAAACAAAAAGTAAGCAAACAGGTCACTGACCCGACTATAAACGTTTTAGTGATGGCCAATTTTACTGCCAACTACAAATTAATTAATTTATTGAATAAATCGATTTGTTTAATTGAGTCATACTAGCAGCTTTTATTACATAACCATTGACTTACAAATAAATGGACGACGGGTTTAATACACGAACCACGAAAAAAATGTCCCAAGTCAACCTATTTAAACGTAGTGACATGTAAAGGAATATGAAAAAGCTAAAACGTTGAATTTAAATTGTAATGTCATCGCAGTACTGTCTAATTTTGCTTGCTTCGTCAGTCGAACAAACGAATACTAAAGCGTGAATGACGCTCTGTATACGATTTTAACGCCCTATAAGTTCGGACACTTTTAGCGCGGACCCGACGTCCATATAATTGTAAGTCAATGTACATAACCTATAAAAGCATATTTAAAATTTCCGAAAACTTGATTTTAAATCCTCCAATTTTTATTCGATTGCAATTGAAATTTTCGATTTATTACATCTTTCATTCAAAAATAACCTGACTTTTTCACTACCATTTTTCAAATATGATTTTACGATGCTATTGAATATTGTTGAAAAAAGTGACGAGATGAAGATGAAAATCTTCGAAATATACGTGAAAATATATATAGTATACTTATTCGAATTATTGAGTGATTGTTTTAGAAATTCAACCAGAATCTTTTGTTTACATTTCGTTTAAAATGTATTGGAATAGACTGTACCATGGTATTCATCTATTTTTTGTGAAAATACTTCACTAGTTTATTGTTATTATTATTGACACAAAGATCGAAGAAACAAGAAAATTTTCATTCGACCCGGCTGGATTCGAACCAGCGACTGTTGCCTCAACGTGGCTACCTTTCCGCCACAGGTGGAGACCGCAAATCTTACACCTTTTTGTATATCGACGCCTTACTTTCTCAAACACTTATCTTATAAAGAGTGATTATTCAGGAGATATAGGTAAAAGCCAGTGTGTGAATATTAAGGAAATTTAGTGTGAAATCATTAACTTACAAATAAATGGACGACGGGTCTAATACAAAAATCACGAAAAAAATGTCCCAAGTCAACCTATTTAAACGTAGTGACATGTAAAGGAATATGAAAAAGCTAAAACGTTGAATTTAAATTGTAATGTCATCGCAGTACTGTCTAATTTTGCTTGCTTCGCTGTCAGTCGAACAGACGAAGACTAAAGCGTGAATGACGGTCTGTATACGATTTTAACGCCCTATAAGTTCGGACCCTTTTTAGCGCGGACCCGACGTCCATATAAATGCAAATCAATGTGTGAAATCATCCTGCAAATATGTATGTACAATGCATTTTTGCATTTCAGTTACTTTGTTTTTTAAGATACGAGTTCGAGAAAGTAAAGCGACGATATGCTTCTTGTAGGTCTTGTATTGGGTTTTAACAGCTTTTTTGTCTTAGCACCTCCTGTGAGAACTTATGAAAGTCACTCGGCCACTTACTTTTACAGTTACCAGAAAACTGACAGACATATCGCTATGTAGTTTCTTATTAATTGTGATTGTAACTCTTTAACGATACCTTGAGTAATTCATATAAGACACCACGCGCGTTTTAAGCTTGGCAATCATTAGAACAACCAAAGCTGTTGTAAGTGAATAGGTTTTCACAAGACATAGAGCTGTATATAAATATAGACGTTCCGTTGTCTGTTGCTATAGGATCCATAGTCATATGCGAGTGAGAAATATGTGTAAGAGAGTTACCACACTTATTAACACAGCTCAAGCCGATTGACTTGAGCCGGTCCGAAAAGCTTGCGTGTCCATGCAGTAAGAACTAAAGAGATGTTGCGCGTTTAGCTAACGCTCGAAATGTACTACTTTTTTACTCTCTTATTAACTGATTAATGAGGTGAGCCCCTAAGAAAAGCTATTGAAGGTAATCAAATGTATCGCAGGATCCACGAGACGAACCTGAAGAAGCAAGGTATGCTGCCGCTGACATTTGCCAACCCTGCTGATTACGACAAGATTCAACCCACTGACAAAATCTCGCTACTTGGACTTAAGGACCTCGCGCCTGGGAAGGTAACAACAGTATTTTTTTAAATCCCTGAACACTATGTAAATTGTAACGTTTTAACATTATTTATATGTAGCCCCACTGTATTGCTTGCCAAGTAACATAACCATACGGTATTAATTCCAAAAAGCCCAAATTTAGAAAAAGTAATAAAAAAAAATTTTCCCTATTGAAATCTGCAATCAGTCAACCAGACGTTAATCAGATGAGTTGGAATATATAGGGTGTTCCAGAAGATTAAGGCCATTGCCTTATCTCCCTTTAATTGCAAGACACATCCGCTCCTTTCAGTCTTCTAATTGTGTTTGACAGCAACACTATTTGGGGCAATCTCCTAGTTGAAGTCTGTAGTGAACTGTATAGCATTTAGCTTCTTCGAGAACCGTTGGCATTTCCAGATTTGTGTATTTCGGAGTTAGCGTACCAGGGTGCAACAGTTAATACCCAGAGAATGTTATTTTGGTCTCTTTGAAGGCTAAGTAAATTTGTTTTGCTGGCTGTTGCCACAATTGTATCCCATAAGTCCAGGTCGGATTTATTACACTGCAGTACACTCTCAGCTTGTTGCTTAGAGATAAGGTGTATTGTCTGCCCAGAAGCCAGAGGAGATTTCTGAACCTAGAGTTAATCTTAGTTCTTTTGTTTTAAAATAATTGGCATACAAAATTGTTGCTGCTCGTTAATTTATAACGAACACTGATTACAAATCAGAAATTGCGTGAAGGGAGTGAAAACCATGTTGGGAGGCTGCATGCGTCCCTATGTTGGAGCTCCTGCTGCCTAAATGGTGAATAAAACAGACTAGCGCCCTGGTACTTGCAAGGATTGATGAGATAATTCGAAGTTACAACACGATTGACATCAAGAATTGCGATAACAATACAACAATTATTATACCATTTTAAAATACAATAATTTTCATCGACTATCGTTGACTTCTATCAGTTGCTCTTTACACTTGGTGCAGACCGGATGCACACAATCGACTTGGAAATGGCTACTATTTTCTATTCTGATCATGTTTTAGGCCAGATAATATAATATTTCAAATTTCCGCCATCAATATGTATTGAAAATTGCAATTTCGTATTTGGAGTTTAGCAAATTTAATATATTTTAGAATGCAACTCTAAATAGTTGTACTATAAGTCTTAACTAAGACGTAATGTACCTACTTATAATACACACCATTTATGTTTACAGCCAGTGGTGTGCGAAGTGAAGCATGCAAATGGGTCGACAGAAAAAATCATGCTGAATCACTCATTGAACGAGCAACAGATCGCCTGGTTCCAAGCTGGCTCAGCCCTTAACAGAATGAAGGAGCTTGTTGCGGGCAAAAAGTGATCATCGATTCTATATTAGTTTTGAGTACTTGCACTGGACCTTGTATTAATTTTTTGTTACTATTTCTTATCCCTAGCTACAAAATACGGTCTTAAAATCATTTTTCGATGTTAGTTCCGTAAATTGAGCATAATTTTGAATATAGGGAAATCTATAATTTTTAGGTGCAGTGTATAGTGCAAAGTGCAAGGAACTGCGCTGTTTGAGGCCGAAATTTGGAATCTAATTAATATGTTAGACAGGAGAGGATAGCTTATTAGAAAAGATCGAATTGTTATTAGAACTAAAATTTCGGCAGTTTCTCATTGTATTTTTTGTAATATAGAAATTAAATTTAGTAATTATATTGATACCAGTGCAAGTGTGTTACCATTTTGTAGTACAATTTATTCAAAATATACAAATTTTCATCTTGGACAATATTCTCGGCGTGATGATGTTAAAAGCCTTAGTAGGAACAAACTTACGAATAGATGGAATTAGATTTTGAGGTTCTATTATTTTTCAAGAATCTTCTTAAAAATATTTTTTTTTTGTGATTTTCATTTATGTAAATAATATATCATCAAATATATTAATTTAAAACATTACATGCATAGTTTGATTATTACTGCTTCAATCTCCACCCAGTAGCAATGTGATTAATGGTTGGTGATGTTACATAGCAACTGTTAAGTAATCTGTGGTGATGGTTACTATATTTCTTAATATACCTGTCAAATGTTAAGTAAACAAAGGATTACCCGTTTTTTGAAGCTTTTTCTTAAAACTAGTAGACTCTGTTCGACATAACTTATTCAAACTTGACATTGGATAAAGTGATTCTCATTAAGAGACAATGCCGAAAGGTATTCCCTCTCCCTAGACACCCATTGCCCAGTGACAAATTAGCGAGACAGTGGTACTTCGGAAAAGTTCTTGCTACTTTTTGCCGAGAAACTTAGTTAAAAAAATATATAAACTGGGAGAGACAAGCAAAAGCAAGATATTACCCCACGTAATAAAAACCTCTTAACATAATATTATATTAATCCTTTTCATTACAAAACATTTTATAACAATTTAAATAGTCCCTTTGATAGCTAGGATGCGCGATCCCAGCTATCAAATGTGTGAGGTGAGGTGTCTCATCTGTATATCACTGTATTGATTGTAATTATACATTTTTCTAAGTCATCCGGACGAATCGCGTATTGTTGAAATTTAAATGCTGATCGTTTATTTGTAATTTCAATGCATTTATTAAAATCAGATCTGCTTAACTTTACCTCCAATTCTTTCGATAATTCCGTAATCTGATTGTCAAACTTTCAGATTACGGAATTATTGAAAGAATTGGAGGTAAAGTTAAGCAGATCTGATTTTAATAAATGCATTGAAATTACAAATATACATAGGTAGTTTTCTACTCTATCAATTGTTTATGAATAATGAATAAGCCTAGACTTAATTTCAGAAACATGATGTATCCTGATGAAATAAAATGCAGTGGTTTTACAATAAAACTATTTATTTAGCAATAGCTTAATCCTCATTGTCCTCATTATCACTGTCTGCATTGATATTGAAGTAGCGTAACTCATATGCATCATGAGCTGAAGCCACCACTCTCAGCCAATCACGGAGGTTATTCTTCTTGAGGTAACGCTTCGTCAGATACTTCAGGTATCTCTTGGAGAAGGGAATGTCTGCAACAATAACAATATGTACAGTTAATAGCACATCAAGATATACACTTCTGTTCGAATGTTGCTTTCAGTGCAATGTGACAACATCTGTCAAAGTGTAGCTTGGTGTGCTGCCATTTGTACAAGCTGTTCCAAACAGGGTGTATTACACTAGTGGTAGTTTCAAATGCTTTTAATGAAAATATTATCATTTTCACAAAGCTTGACTTAACTTGTCCTTCCAAGTGTAGTTTATGGTAATTACAATATAACATGAAAAAATAGATGTAATTGTCAAAACTATCTTAAAATATATAGTGATTTGGAACATTAGAATAGGTTCTATCTGCTCCTACTACATCACCTATAAGCGTAACAAACACACAAAATGAGCAATACAATATAGAATTATGGGAACCAGATTGTTACACCAGGTTGAGTGTTGTACAAATAGCATTTTGAGAAGCCCCTTAGCCATATAGCTTAAATTTTAGTCTGAAGTCAAGATTGACAAGACATTCACACACCAAAACAAATTCTGAACCTCACAATCAGTTTATCCTGAACTGACTGAGTTTCGAGTTTAGCCAGTGGAATTGAGACTGATATTAATTTAAAATTGACAAAATAGATGATACTGAGAAACAAGTTTCACATGATATCTAATTAAAAATTTTATATGTAAGAAATAGAAGAAATTGCGAAGAACACATAGTTACCACAATTAATTAAAGTATAAAAGGTAGACTACAGCACTTTTGTTGCCCGAGGATAAATCAAATGACATTCTATTTTAATGTCCTTCACTCAGTTGTTATTAGGCCAATGTGTGGTGTAGGTATATATAAAACTTGTAATTAATATAATGTAAAGTTTACTACTTATTGTATTTGTGTGTGTATGTGTGTATATCGAAGCCAGAAAGCGATCTTGTCGTATCTCAAAAAATGTGACTACACCGGGGCCAAAAAACTTTTAAAAAATATATTTCTCTTTAATTTGAATTAATAAAAAGTAAATTTTATAGTATGATTATATACATCCTACTTTAAAATTGACTTTGTACTAATTCAAATTAAAGAGAAATAATCTTTTCAAAGTTTTTCGGCCTCCGTGTACAGTCCTATTTTACAAGATACAAGATCGCTTTGCGGCGTCGATATATATATTTGCACAACATTGTACAATGAAAGTTCTGATATTAACAAGGTAAGGTTACAATATTCACTAACCTTACAACTAAAGGAACGTATCAGGAATATTGAATAAACAAATGATAAGCAAGATCATGAAATAAGGTTTGGGATCTTACCTGCACTGATGGCAACTTTCGTTTTGTCCCTGGCCACCGTAACGTGATTGCTTAGGTTATTAGTCTTGCCATCAACTTTGACATGTTCCTTCAGATATTTCTCGAAGTTGCCAACATCGAGGATGCTGTCCTCGGCGGGGTGAGTGCAGTCAATCACGAACTTGAGGTTAATTTTCCTCTTGATCCCCTTGCCGCGGATTTTACCACCCTTAATGCCTTTCCTGCCAGACTTTTGGTGTAACTGGGCTTTCTTAGCCACGGGTTTCTTTGTCACTGCCATTTTGGCAATCTGAAATGAAACAGTTACATTGAATTCATCAAAAACTTAAAGAATTATAACAATATCACGTATATTTTGCAAAATAACCTACTAAACACGTGTAGAACAGTCACCGAAGAAACTGCAAAATGGCCGATATAAACGTCAATATTTCTCCAAGTGGCTAGTTCCTCTATAATAATAATCCTGTTTGGTGGCTAGCCTGATCGTTAATGTTGCCATATTATTTCTTTCACTATTTATCGGTTTTTAGTCATTTTCATAATATAACTTTGAAGAAACATTCTTTATTCACTCAATGCTGTTGTATACAACACTATTGAATTAAATTAGAACAAAAATTTAAAAAGTATAAATGGCTTTCGAAGTTACATGTACAGTTTTTACAAAGATTATTTTTATTTTAAGTATATTATGAAGAAAAAACGAAGAAAGAAATAGTAATGAAGAAAGTTAGAATTATGTTCCTTTTCTTAAACCAAGTTACAAAAGACTTTATCCTAAAAATTCCAATAATTACGAATTCAAAAGTTTTTCTTCAAAGTGACAAAAGATGATTTGATTTAACGGAAAGTAAAAACATAAATATTGACTCCCGCCGCTTAAGACTATTTAAAAAACCCAAATAAGTAAACTAAGTTATTTAAGAGAAAGTGAAAACATAATGTATTAGAATCACAATGAAAAACATTATTGAAGATCCCGATAATTAAACGAAGACATTGCTCAAAGGCCTATATCTATATATCTAAGCCAAAACTCTTAATAAAAAAATTAAAGAACAACAAAAAAATTGCGGGCTTTTAAGTTACGAATACAGTACAAATAAAAACTAATTTTATTTTATTTTAAGAAAATACATGCATGGCATGATTAACGCACTTTTATGAGATACACCTTGGTCAATTTCTGCAGAAAGTAAAAAATGTTCGAAATTCAAATAAACAAGATGGCCGCCATACAAATTTCGAAGCCTTCTTGGGTCTTAATCATAATTTGGGATCAAATGTTTTTTTCGCCATTTTTTAATATGGCCTTATAAGTGTCTTTTTTTCGTTAAAAATAGCTGCCGAAAGAGACTCGCTCTGTTTCAGCTGAAAATTGTCATGTGGAGGCTTCTAGAAGTACCGGACAATAATTTGTGCTCGAAATTGGTTTTTCGCCATTTTCAAATATGGCCGCCGTACAAGCGTTTGTTGGCATAAGGAAAAACATTGTTCTGATCCCTTTAAAAATTGTGATGTGGTGGTCTCTAGGAGTGCTTAATAATTATTTGTGATCAACAGTGGTTTGTCGCCATTTTTCAATATGGTTGC